TACCATTTAAAACATAGTCCATTTTGTTGTTATTCCTATCAAAATGGATGACCTCACACTTATCAACATTGAACTCCATCTGCCAGACCTTTGCCCACTCACTTAGACTATCTATATCCCGCTGCAGACTTTCAGTGTCTTCTGCACACTTTACTCTACCACTCACCTTAGGGTCATCTGCAAATTTTGACACACCACACTTAGTCCCCAACTCCAAATCGTCTATATAAATTGTAAACAATTGCGGTCCCAACACTGATCCCTGAGGCACATCACTAGCCACTGACCGCCAACTAGAAAAACACCCATTTACCCCTACTCTTTGCTTTCTACTGGTCAACCAATCCTCTATCCATGCCAATACATTACCTGTAATACCATGCAACTTTATTTTATGTAGCAGCCTTTGGTGCGGCACCTTGTCAAATGCCTTCTGGAAATCCAGATACACCACATCCACAGGTTCCCCATTGTCCACCATGCAAGTAATGTCCTCAAAGAATTCCACCAAATTAGTTAAACATGGCCTACCCTTCATGAACCCATGCTGGGTGTTCCCAATGGGAGAATTTATATCCAGATGTCTTGCTATTTCTTCCTTAATGATAGATTCAAGCATTTTCCCCACTAACGAAGTTAAGCTAACTGGTCTATAGTTACCTGCTTTTTGTCTACTTCCTTTTTTAAACAGTGGTGTCACATTGGCTGTTTTCCAATCTGCGGGAACCACCCCAGAGTCCAGTGAATTTTGGTAAATAATTACTAGTGCATTTGCTATTTCCCCCATCACCTCTTTTAGTACCCTGGGATGCATTTCAACAGGGCCAGGAGACTTGCCATTAGCTTGCCCAGCACTGCTTCCTTAGTGATAATGATAGTTTCTCGCTCCTCACCTGCTATAACCTTCTTGCCATCAGTTTTCAGCATGTTATTGTGTCTTCCACTGTGAAGACCGACATGAAATAACTGTTTAATGTCTCGGCTATTTCCTCATTTCCAGTTATTAAATTGGCCTTCTCATCCTCTAAAGGACCAATGTTTACCTTCGCCACACTTTTACGATTTACATATTTATAGAAAATTTTGCTGCCTGTTTTTATATTCTGAGCTAGTTTACTCTCATAATCTATCTTACTTTTCTTTATATCTTTTTTTGTGGCTTTCTGTTGGCCTTTAAAGATTTCCCAGTCTACTAGTTTCCCACTAATCTTCGCTTTTTTGTATGTGTTTTTTTTCAATCTGATACTTTCCTTTATTTCTGTAGACATCCATGGCTGGCTGTCTCTTTTCCTACAGTTCTTCCTTATCACTGGAATATACTTCAGCTGAGCACTGTGAAAAATCATTTTGAAAGTCCTCCACTGTTCCTCAATTGACCCACCATAAGGTTTTTGCTCCCATTCTACCTTACCTAACTCCTCCCTCATTCCTTTACAGTCTCCTTTGTTTAAGCACAGGACATGTGTACTGGATTTAACCTTCTCACGCTCCATTTGTATTTTAAATTCGACCATACTGTGATCGCTCCTTCCGAGAGGATTCCTAACTGTGAGATCATTTATTATTCCTGTCTCATTACACAGGACTAGATCTAGGATAGCTTGCTCCCTCGTAGGTTCCATTACATATTGTTCAAGGAAATTATTGCGGATGCATTCTATGAACCCCTCCTCAAGGCTGCCATGACCGACCCAGTTTGACCAATCGATATGTAGATTAAAATCCGCCATAATAATTGCTGCACCATTTTTACATGCGTTCGCTATTTCTATGTTTATGCCCGCCCCACCACGATGTCATTATTTGGTGGCCTATAGACCACACCCATCAGTGACTTCTTCTCCCTGCTATTGGTAGAGGGATTGAGTTTCGGAGCCATGAGGTCATGTCGCAGCTGTACAAAACTCTGGTGCGGCTGCACTTGGAGTATTGCGTACAGTTCTGGTCACCGCATTATAGGAAGGATGTGGAAGCATTGGAAAGGGTGCAGAGGAGATTTACCAGGATGTTGCCTGGTATGGAGGGAAGGTCTTATGAGGAAAGGCAGAGGGTCTTGAGGCTGTTTTCGTTAGAGAGAAGAAGGTTAAGAGGTGACTTGATAGAGACATACAAGATGATCAGAGGATTAGATAGGGTGGACAGTGGGAGCCTTTTTCCTCGGATGGTGATGGCTAGCACGAGGGGACATAGCTTTAAATTGAGGGGTGATAGATATAGGACAGATGTCAGAGGTAGGTTCTTTACTCAGAGAGTAGTAAGGGCGTGGAATGCCCTGCCTGCAAAAATAGTAGACTCGCCCACTTTAAGGGCATTTAAATGGTCATTGGATAAACATATGGATGATAATGGAATAGTTTAGGTTAGATGGGCTTCAGATTGGTTTCACAGGTCGGCGCAACATCAAGGGCCGAAGGGCCTGTACTGCGCTATAATGTTCTATGTTCTATGTTCTATTCCTAATTTCCACCCAAATGGATTCAACCTTTTGTTCAGTAGAACCTATATCATCTCTCACTACCACCCTGATATCATCCTTAAAAATCAGAGCAACACCACCTCCCTTACCTTCCTCTCTGTCCTTCCGAACAGTTTGATACCCCTGGATATTTAACTCCCAGTCATGACCATCCTGTAACCATGTCTCTGTAATGGCCACTAAATCATACCCATTTGCCATGATTTGCGCCGTCAACTCATCCACCTTGTGTCGAATGCTCCGAGCATTCGGATAAAGTGCCCTTATGTCAGTTTTTGCACCTTCTTTTTGGGTCCTATTACCTCCATTACTAACAGCTCTTGAGTTCTCCTTCCCTTTAACATTCTTCCTAATTTTCAATGGAGTTGAAGCTTCCTCGTCACCTGCTAACCTGCTGCTTTGCCTTACATTAATTGTTATTCTCCGTCTACGCTCACTTCTCCCTTCCCCCCTACTTACTAGTTTAAAGTCCTATTAACCACCCTATTTGCCCTTTTCGCCAGAACACTGGTCCCGGCCCTGTTCAGGTGGAGTCCATCCCAGCGGTATAGATCCCTCCTGTCCCTGAACTGATGCCAGTGCCCCATGAAAAGGAAACCTTCTTTCCCACCCCACTCTTTTAGCCACGTGTTTACTTCCCTGATCCTCGCCTCCCTATGCTAATTTGCACGTGGCTTGGGCAGCAATCCAGAGATTATGACCCTTGAAGACCTGTTTTTTTAAAATTTTGTTCCTAGCTTTTCGTAATCCTGAAACAGGTCTTTTTTCCTAGTCCTGCCTATGTTGTTGGTACCTACGTGGATCACAACAACTGGATCCTCCCCCTCCCTCTCTAGTATCCTCTCAAGCCGGTCAGAGATGTCTCGCACCCTGGCACCGGGCAGGCAACACACCATGCAGCATTCTCTGTCCTGCTCGCAAAGGATATTGTCTATCCCCCTGATGATGGAATCCCCTACAACTACAATCTGTCTTTTTGCCCCCCCCTCTTGAATGGCCTCCTGGACCATGGTGCCATGGTCAGTTGACTGATCTTTCCTGCAGCCCTGTTCCTCATCCACGCAGGGAGCAAGTGCCTCATACCTGTGGGACAATGTCAAGGGCTGCGGCTCCTGTGTTCCTGTCTGCAGGGTCCCTCTACCTGCCTCACTCGCAGTCACACACTGCTGTCCCTGCCCGCCGATCGAATTAACATTAGTTAATCTACCAGGTGTGACTGCCTCCTGGAACACAGCATCCAGGTATTTCTCCCCCTCCCGGATGTGCCGCAGTGTTTGGAGTTCGGATTCCAGCTCATCAACTTTGAGCTGGAGTTCCTCAAGCAGCCAACACTTGCTGCAGATGTGGTCACTGCCGTTCTCAATGGGATCAGCTAGCTCCCACAACATACAGCTATAACACATCACCTGGCCTGCCATCTCTACTTAGTTAATTATTTAAAATTTATTCATTTTTTTTTTAGTTTCGCAGTGTTCTCTGCACCAGTAAGTTTACTCCGTTATATACTCAAACAGACTCCAGCTTTGCCTTCCGACCTGCTCCCAGAGGATTTGGCGTCTAGGTGACCACCTCGAAAGATAACAAAGAGATGAGGAAAAAAAATGCAAATAGCTTACCTGCTCACCATACTTAGTCGTTATTATTAGGTTAGAGGTGGTGGAAGGGTGGGAGACACTACGCTTGTAGTGTCTCGGGTATTAATTAACTCCCAAATTTATTGGGTGGAAGCTTACCTTCCCAGGCTGCCCTCACGCTTTCTCACGGACTCCCGCCACTGAAACAACTGAAAGCTGTATTTCAGCTGTACTGAAATTCAGTATTTAAAGAGTCATGAATGGTGCAGAACATTATACAATCAGCGAATATCCCAACTTCGGGTGTCATGATGGAGGGAAGGTTATTGGTAAAACAGCTGAAGATGGGTGGGCCAAGGACTACCTTCAGGAATTATAGCAGAATTGTCCTGGAGCTTAGATGACTGACCTCCAACAACCACAACCAGTGTTGCAAGGACTACATCAGGCCACACTCAGTTGAATGCCACACTGGAGTCAAGAGTGATCACTCTAATCTCAACTCTGGAGTTCAGTCTTTTATCCAAGACTGTAATGAGGTCCTGGCAAAATTAAGTGGTGCTGGTGGAAGCAAAACTGAGCATTAATCCTAATTGGTCAGGCACTTCAAAGAAATAAGCTTAGAAGTCGATAGGGAACAAATGAGGTGCTGACTGGATGCATTGTGGGAAGCAGCATGGGCCAATAGGCCAAACAGGCCAAACGGCCTCCATCTGTTCTTTAAATGTCTGTGACATTTGTCTGGCTGATTTAAATGTAGATGCTACAAATGAAAGCACATGCTCCATCAATTTGGCTATATAATTTGAGCAACAAGTACTGTACATAGCAAACCTTTTTTTTTCAGAAAAGCAATATACCAAGAATTTACACTTAAAGTCAATTGTAGAAAATTAAGATTTAACAAGCATTTAACAGATTAGCTTAAACTGGAAATAACCAACACCAACCTCCTCTGCCATATCCAGCAGTGCTTTATTACTACTTTCCCATCTGGTACGATACATGGTGGTCTCTTTTTCCAGCTTTTTGATTTTTTTTGTCATCTGATCAAAAGAAAGTGGGAAAAATGTTTTGTAAATAAGAATGTACATAAGTGTTGAAATACTGTAGATTAATAATATGGAGCATTAGGTGGGGATTTCATGCAAAGCAGGCTAAAACTGTCAACTTGCTCAATTTTCTTGATGTCGTTGACAGGAGGGGTGCCTTGCATACGAAATTGTAGTAATCACAATCAGGTGAATTTTATCATCGAGCATTTGCCATATTATGCTGGATATTTTTCTTTACATTAACACAAAGGTATAAATATCACTTAATTCAGAATTGAAAGACAAGAATCCTATAATGACAAACTGAAAGATTCATAGATTCAAATCCAAGACTGTGCCCTGTCAGTGGATTTTAGCCAGAGTGTGAATGGAGATATTACAGTTCACGGAAGTCCTCTTCGGCTTGGAGGACTTGTAAAAATGTTAGTATTTACACTGACAAACAGAGGAGGTTAACAAATATTTATACAACACCTTTAAATTAATAAAACATTCTAGGGTACTTTACAGGAGTGTTAAGAGGAGATTATGCATGGGTTCAGAATTAGAAGGGGCTTTGAGGAAATAAATAAGGTGACTAATCCAGTACACACAATACAAAAAAAAAATCAAAAGAACTGCGGATGCTGGAAATCAGAAAAACAAATTGCTGGAACATCCCAGCAGGTCTCGCAGTATTTGTGGACAGAAATCAGAGTTAATGTTTTGGGTCCAGTGACCCTTTTTCAGAACGAGTAGTGTCTAGGAAAAGGTATATATGTTGAAGACAGATGGTGTTTTGGTGGACAAAGTTGGGCGGGGGGTGCAGTTGGTGGTGGAGGTGGTGGTGGTTAAACAGCACTCATAATTTAAAAATACCTAGTGTATGCAGACAACTTCAAGGAAGTAAACTGTACCTTTTCCATCTCTTGTTTGAAGGTTGTGAAAACTTCATTACTTTTTGAAAGTGTAGCTTGAAATTCTTCAAACTTTCCAGTGTATAATGCCAGCTGATAAAATACAAAGCAGTAAAAAAAAAACTGCATAAACAAAGCATTGAAACTGCAAATAGAACTGGCTCTCAGATACTTATTTGTACGTGAATATTTTTAAAAAATGTCTCAGCATTTTCTCAATACTAACATCAATTTTATAGCAACTTTTTTCTTTGCTGAGTTAATAATATTCAGTTAACGTGTATGTAGAAGATTTGTTTTTTAGAAAGAGCTGCTCCCAACAACACCCAAAAGAATGAACTTTAAGTGGTGAACGCAAGGTGGTGTGTTGGAAAGGGAAAAAAGAGCTGGAAGAGATTTGGAGAAATCCATCTCACTGACATCACAGGAGGTATGTTTTTAAAACTCAACATGATGACTGAGTATACCTGCAAACAAGCAAAGACTCATGAATATCACTGTTTCCATTTGAGGGGTGGATCAACTGTCAGCAGTGGAACATTCTGGGAATAATGATTTGATTTGATTTGATTCATTTATTATCATGTGGATTTTGTACAAAATACAGTGAAAATTTGTGTTGTGTCACCATTCTCCAGCGCCATCTTAAAACACAGAAAAATAAACCAAAATATAGAATATAAAGGCAGAAAAACAGAGAAATAAAGAAAAACTGTTAAACCTTACAGTCCTTATTGTTAAGTGCTCCACCACAGGCTATGGGCCTGGTGGGGTCAGGCACGAGTCTCCTTCGCCACACAGCCACTGCGAGAGCCGCCACACCTCAGCACCATCTCGCCTCCACCAACACCCGCGCCACTATAAGTCCTCGCTGGACCCCACCAATGCAGATGACACCAATGCCGCTGGGTACTGCACTGGCCCAAACTCTACGCCGCCACTGCCATGAGGCCCACCTCACCGATGCAGCCGCTGTGATGCTGCCAGGTCTCATACTGGGCCCAAACTTGCCTCCACCTTCATGAATGTGCGACGGATACAGATACTGCTGGAAACTCAAACTCGCCTCCAATGACAATGTTGCCACGAGTGTGCTGGGCTCACTCGCCATGACCGAGCTCTTCAACAAGAGGGAAGTAAAATAAGAGAGAAAAAAAACAAGTAATAAAAGAAAAGAAAACGAAAAACGGATGAACCTTGGGCTCAGAAGCCGTACTCCACCGCCTTCTTACCGGAAGATGAATAGAGTATCACAATGTTTATGCTAGGCAGGATTATATTTTGCCTTTAATCGAAGTTCATTCTCAAGATGTGGGCTTCGCGGACAAGACCAGCATTTATTGCTCATCACTAGTTGACCTTGGGAAGGCGGTGGTAAGCTATCTTTCGAACCGTGATAGTCCACATGCTGTAGGTAGTCCCCAACAGCATTAGGATGTTCCAGGATTTTGACACAGTTACAGTGAAGGAATGACCGTACATTTCCAAGTCAGGATGAGGATTAACTTTGGGGGCAACTTGCAGGTGGTGATGCTTCCATGTATCTGCTGACCCTGTCCTTCTAAATGGAAGTGGTCATGGATTTGAAAAATGCTGTCCAAACAGCCTTGGTGAATTTCTGCAGTGCATCTTATACAGTTGTACAGTAATACAGCATGGAAACAGGCCCTTAGGTCCAAACTGGCCCGTGCTGACCATGGTGCCCACTCAGCTAGTTCCAATTGCCTGCATTTGGTCCATATCCCTCTAATCCCTTCCCATCCCTGTAACTATCCAAACTCTCCGCATGAAGAAATTTCCCCTCATGTCCTTCTAAAATCCCTCCGGTCTCACCTTAAACCTACGCCCTCTAGTTTTCAATTCCCCATCCCTGGGAAAAAGACTATATGCATTCATCCTATTTATGCCCCTCATGATTTTATACACCTCAATAAGGTCACCTCTCATTCTCCTACATTCCAAGAAATAAAGTTCTATCCTGGCCAAACTCTCCCTATAACTCACGCCTATTAGCCCTGGCAACATTCTCGTAAATCTTCTTTGCACACCTTCCAGTTTAACTATGTCTTTCCTATAACAGGGTGATCAAAACTGCACACAATATTCCAAGTGTGGCCTCCCCAACGACTTATACAACTGTAACATAATGTCCCAACTCCTATACTCTTTGCCTCGACTGATGAAGGCCAGCATGCTAAATGCCTTCTTCACCACTCTGTCTACCTTTGATGCCGCTTTCAACAAACCATGTACTTGTATTCCTAGGTCCCTTTGTTCCACAACACTCCTCAGAACCTTAACATTTACTATACAAGTCCTCCCTTGGTTTGACTTTCCAAAGTGCAACACCTCACACTTCTCTGGATTGAATTGCATATTCAATCCTCAGTTCACTTCCCAATCTGATCAAGATCCCTCTATAATTTTTGATAACCTTCCTCACTATCAATGCTACCTCCTAATTTCGTATCAGCTGCAAACTTACTAATCATGTCTTGTACATTCACATCCAGATCATTTATGTAAATAATAAATAACAAAGGTCCCAGCACTGACCCCTGTGGCACACCACTAGTCACAGGCCTCCAATCTGAGATAACCTTTAACCATCATCCTCTGCTTCCTACCATCGAGCCAATTTTGAATCCAATTGGCTAGCTCTCCCTGGATCCCATGTGACCTTCATGACTAGCCTGCCATGCGGGACCTTGTCAAAGGCCTTACTAAAGTTCACACAGACAACATCAAGTGCCCTACCCTCATCTATCTTCTTGATTACCTCTTCGAAAAACTCAGATTTGTCAGACATGACTCCCTGCGCACAAATCCATGCTGACTATCCCTAGTCAGATCTGGACTATCCTAATGTTGGTTGATTCTGTCCCTCAGTATCCTCTCCAATAACTTGCCTACCACTGATGTCAGGCTCAATGGCCTGTAGTTCCCTGGCTTGTCTTTATAAACGATGGAACAACATTAGCCACCCTCCAGTCTTCTGGAACTTCACCAGCGGCTAAAAATGAAGCAAAAATCTCTGCAAGGGCCTCTGCAATTTCTTCCCTAGCCTCCCACATCGTCCGAGGATGGACTTGATCAGGCCCTGGGGATTTATCCACCTTATTGCGTTTTACGGCTGCAAACACCTCCTCTCTGGTAATGTGTATGCAGTCCAAAACATCCCCACTTGCTTTCCTTATTTCCTTAGCATCCACGATTCTCTCCTCAGTAAACACTGAGGAGAAATAGTCATTAAAAATCTCTGTCAGCTCCTGTGGCTCCACACATAGACAACCATGCTGATCTTTAAGGGGACCTATTCTCTGCCTAGCCACCCTCTAACTCTTAATATAGCTATAGAACCTCTTGGGATTGGCTTTAACCTTATCTACCAGATCCATCTCACCCCTCCTTTTGCTCTTCTGATTTCTCTCGAGTGTGCTCCTACTCTTTCTATTGTCATCAAGTGATTCACTTGAGCCCAATAGCTTAAACCCAATGTATGCCGCCATTTATTTCCTGACCAGAGCCTCAATATCCCTAGTCAGCCAGGGATCCCTAAACCTGACAGCTTTTCCCTTCACCTTAACAGGGACATACTGTCCCTGGACTCTTGATATCACACTTTTAAAAGCCTCCCATTTGCCAGTTGTTCCTTTTCCTAAGTCTCACCCAATCAACCTCTGTTAGATCCTGCCTGATGGCCCCAAAATTGGCCCTGTCCAGTTCAAACCTTAACCTGTGGTTCTGTCCTATCTTTTTCCATAACTGTGTTAAAACTAAGATAGTTATGGTCACTGGACCTAAAGTGCTTGCTGACTGATACTTCAGTCACTTTCCTGACCTTGTTTTCTAAGAGGAGGTCCAGTGTTGCACTCTCCTGAGCAGGACCTTCTATATATTGATTTGGGAAATGTTCTTAGTCATATCTGACAAATTCCACCTTGTCTGGGCCTTTTACACTCTGCGTGGCCCAGTTAATACAGGGGAAATTAAAATCTCCAACCAACACTACTCAATTATTCCTATAATCTCTCTACACATCTGCTCCTCTAGTACCCACTGATTATTTGGGGGTCTATAATACAGACCCAACAGAGCAACCATCCCCTTGTTGTTTTTAAGTTCTAACCATATGGCCTCAGTTGATGACTCCTTGGGAATATCCTCTCTAAGCACTGTTGTTATGTGCTCCCTTATCAAAAGGGCAACCCTCCCTCCTCACTTAGTTGTAGTTCTGTCATGCTTGTAGCTTCTGCATCCTGGAACATTGAGCTGCCAGTCCTGCCTTTCTCTTAGTCATGTTTATGTTATCACTATAATATTCCAGTCCCCAGAGCCAATCCATGCTCTGAGCTCATATGCCTTACCAATCAGGCCTTGTGCATTGAAATAAATGCACTTTGCACCAGAAGCCTTTTCCCTCCCTTTACCATGCCCCTGGCTATCCTGAATAGTAAACTTGCTCTCGATGGCTAATGTATTTTCCCCTGACTTCTCAATGGTCCCTCTCTTATTCAGAGTCCTACTCCCCCCTGCCAAACTAGTTTAAATGCTCCTGGGTAACAGTAGCAAGTCTCCCCACAAGGGTATTGGACTCCCTCTGGTCCAAGTGCAACCCGTCCCTCTTGTACAGGTCACCTCTACCCCAGGAGAGATCCCAATGATCCAAGAACTGAAAACCCTGCCCCTTAAACCAGCTTCTCAGCCATGCATTCATCTGGCTTATCTTTCTATTTCTATCCTCACTGGTGCGTGGCACTGGGAGTAATCCAAAGAGCACTACCCTTGAGGTCCTGCTTTTTAACTTCCTACTTAAATCCCTATCCTCATTTCACAGGACCCCATCCCTTTGTCTATCTATGTCATTTGTACCAACGTGCACAATGACCTGTGGCTGTTTATCCTCCCCCTTCAGAATGTTCTGCAACTGCTCAGAGACATCCTTGACCCTGGCACCCGGGAGACAACACACCACCCTGCTGTCTCTTCTGCAGCCACAGAATCTCCTGTCTGTACCCCTCACTATTGAGTCTCCTATCAGTATCGATCTGTTAGACTGCACCCTTTCCCTATGAGCCTCAGAGCTGGTCACAGTGCCACAGACCTGACTGCTGCTGCTGCTAGCTCCTGAAAGGTCACCCCCCCAAAGTATCCAGAGTGGTGATCTGTGTTTGAAAGGAATGGGCACGGGGGAACCCTGTACTATCTGCCTTTCCCCTCTTACCTCTTCTGGTGGCCACCCAGCTACCTGCAAACTACACCTTAGGAGTGACCACTTCATTATAGCTCTTATCACTGATGTTTTCTGCACCCTGGATGATCCTGAGTGCATCCAGCTCTAATTCCCTAAGGGGCTGCAGCTGGATGCATTTCCCGCAGGTGCATCCACCACGGACACTGTAAGTCTCCCTGATCTCCCACATCCTGCAAGAGGAGCATGCTGCTGCCCTATCTGCCATCCCCACTGCCTTCAGTCTAGACAGAAAGAATGTAGAGTTGAAGAGCCCTTACCTGCTATTACTTGTACCCTGCTCAGACTCCCCACACCAAAACCTCTCGAACAAAGGCCTCAACACGCCCACTCTAACACTGGTTCACTCTCTTAATGGCTGCTCCCTTGTACACCTCGTCGTCCTCCTCACAGTTTTTTTTTTGATCAGAGGAGGGGGGAGGGTGGGAAACACCAATGTAGTGTTTCAGTTTTAACCACACCTTAACACCAGGTTCTCTCTGACCTGCTGTACAGCTGTGTAGATGGTATACACTGCTGCTACTGAGCATTGATGGTGAAGGGAATGGATATTTGTGGATATGGTCCCAATCAAGCCAGCTGCTTTGTCCTGGATCGTGTCAAACTTCTTGGGTTTTGTTGAAACTGCACCCATCTTGTCATGTGGGGAGTATTCCATCACACCCCCTGCTTGTGCCTTGTAGATGATGGACAGGCATTCAGCAATTAGGTTAGAGTTAAGAGTAGTCACTGCAGCACTCCTAGCTCTGCTCTTGTAGCTACAGTATTTACATGGTTAGCCCACTTCAGTTCCTGGTCAACGATAAACCGCAGGATTCAGTGATGGTAATGTCATTGAATATCAAAGGATGATGATTAGATTCTCTTTTGTTGGAAATGATCCTTGCCTGGCATTTGTTCGGCATGAATGTTACTTGCATATTTTTAGTCCAAGCCTGGAAATTGTCTAGGTCGTGCAGAATTTGGACATGGACTGTTTCAGAATCTGAGGAATAATAAATGGTGCAGAAAAGTGCAATCATTAGCGAACATCCCCACTTGTGACCTTTATGATGGAGGGAACATCATTGATGAAACACCTGAAGATGGTTAAGAACAAAGAACAATACAACACAGGAACATGCCCTTTGGCCTGCTAAACCTGCGCCGACACATTTTACCCTTCCATACTAAAACTGTCTTCACTTACAGGATCTGTATCCATCTATTCCCTTCCTACTCATGTATCTGTCCAGGTGCTTCTTGAATACTACTATTGTGTCTGCTTCCACCATCATCGCTGGCAACGCATTTCAGGCCCTCACCACCCTGTGTGTTAAAAATGTGCCTCGCTCATCTCTTTTAAACGTCCCCCCTGCACTTTGAACCTGTATCCCCTAGTAACTGACCCCTCCACCCTGGGAAAAAGCTTGGGAATTCACCAAACCACAGTATATTTTGCATCCTCGCCACTTGCAGCACCTCCTCTAAGTGACGGTCAACATGGAGAGCAGAATCATCAACTGATGGTGTGCAATACGTGGTAATCAGCAGGAAGTTTCCTTGCCCATGTCTGAATTGGTGCCATGAGACTTCATGTTGTCCAAAGTCAACCTTGAGGACTCCTAGGGCAACTCCCTCCTACTGTGCCCATCTTTGCTGGATAGGTCCTGCTGGTGGGACAGGGATAGTCGTGTCTGGGATAATGACATACTCTCAAAATCATGTCTTATGGATAATGTCAGGCTGTTACTGACTAATTTATGAGAAAGCTCTTCCAATTTTGCGACTAGCCCAGGTTAAGAACTTTGTAGGGTTGACAGGGCAGAGTTTGCCATTGCTGTTTACAGAAATCATGTGCAAGGATATGTGGAAAAAGGAAATTAGTACTAAATAACAATGTTCATTTGAATAGCCAGTGCAGACATGATAGGCCAAATGGCCCTTTCTGCACCATAACATTTCTTGTGAAATTTTAAACCTCTTATCATTGTTCAATGTCACCCAGGGACCAACTTGTTGATACATCGTTATACTGCCTCCAATGAATATATCCTTCCACTTGCTGTACGGCCAAAATTGCAAAGCAAATGTCAAGGTATTTCCTAGGTCCTGTGCATCAATTAACCAACTAACTTAACTAAATACTGTCCAGATGCAATGTGGTTCCACTTTTCCTTCACTGCTACTTTAATTAGATGAGCAGTTCAGCAATCTACACATGTGGTGAACTGAGCTCTTTGCTCTTCATAATCATCAGTTAATAGATCAGGGTACATTTCTGGGAATTGTGCACATGACCATTGTTCTACTATGTTAATTTTCATCATCCACACCACGTTTACTTGTTTGATTCAATGAAAGAATTTACTGTATTCTTTTCAGGTTTTCTATCTACAAATTGTGTTAAAAACATCTTTAATCATGTTAAAAAAATACTCAACAAGGATTATACCTGCTGTTTTAGATGAACTTCCTGCTGTTTCATGAGCTCACACATCCTCTGGCTCTCCACCGTCTCCTTTAATAACTGAAATTAAATACAAAAGAATATACTGAAATGAATATCCACATGAACTTTTGATGCTTGGTCCAAACCAGAACCCTTCTTCAAATTCTGGTTGTTCTATTTGACACTGTTCCCATCTTCCCTATATTGTGTCCAGGGTCTACAAAACTTGAGTACGACTGACATATTATCATCAAAACTAGCTGGAGTATAAACACTATTGGCCTTTCCTTCCTCTCCTGAAACAAGCCATTAATCAAGGATTCTAAGTAGTACAGATAACTTCATCTCCTTAAACCCACTTTGTCAACACTGATCTTGAAGATCTCCAATTAAGCTTCTGCCCTCCCATCTGGAATAGGAGATCTAATTTATCGGATCAAAGTGCATCTTCCAGCCATATCTTCCTTGGAAGGTCACAACCTTAACATCCTTCATCGATACATTTCTTCTGTTGTTCAATACAGAGGGATTGTTCTCATTTGGTTCTAGTCTTCCCACGTGCTCCTTTTGGAACCTCTCAAATACCAATGGATTGGGGGATGGAAGGAGGGAGGCAAAAGATGACTAAATAATTTAACAACTCACATATTCTTTTTCTTTCTGGTGCCTCTCCTCTGCATCTTTCAGCAGTTCCTGTGCTTGTTGGAGTTTGGCATCAATGAGTTGTTGCTGAAGGTCTTTGTGCTTAAATACCTTGTCAATATGCTGTGAACAGATTTTTTGAATTAAACATTGAAGCCATAATGATGTGAAATCAACTGATGAGTTCCCAAATATGCTAATTCAACTGCATGTCATTTCCATATTGCTACTGTGACCAGTTGGCCGGTTCCATGAATACCACTGCAAACCAGCGCTACATCAGTATACCTTATTTCAGCAAATGTTACTATATTTGAGTTCTTTCTTTGGATTTTAGGTGCTTCTTTCCCCAATCCCAGATACAATCAGAAAGCTACTGTTGCTATATTTTGACTTATTAGTCTTGTCAAGTACCCTCATTTGTTCTGCCTGAAAGATAATACAGTTTATTGGAAACATAAACAGAAACTCAGCAGATCTGGCAGAGAAACAGAGTCAAAGCAAAATGGAAGTGTGATGGGTTCTATGATTTTGAAGAAGGGGGAGGAGCAAGTGGAACAGAAGCGGTGATCATGAAAAGAGACAACACATTAGACCAGAGCAATGTTCCCTCTAATCTCTCTGGTATCAGGCACATGGTAATTGGAGTCGACACATTGATAGCAGCATTGACTTCCAGTTCTAGAAGTCGCCACCACACAGGGGTCTCAGAAGTCTGCTCAGCTGGTCAGCAAGTTAGAAGGAATGCTGGCCCAGGGTGTGTGTTAATAACAGAATAAAAGGTCATCTCTGATTAAAAGCAAAATCATGAAAAGAAAATACAGACACTTCGGGCAGTTCGGGTGGGGGAGGATTACTGAAACAGCAGACAGAGTTCATTGTCTCAATTTGCTGAACTAAATGTTGAGTCTTGAATGCTGTACAGTGCCTAAGCAGAAAATTAGATGCTGTTCCTCCAGCTTGTATTGGGCTCCACTGGATCACTGTAGCAGGCCTAGGACAGAAACATTAGCAAGCTAGTGCACAGCAAGTGCAATCTACCAAAAAACTGGGGTCATACTTATGGACTGAAGAGGTATCCCACAATGTGGTAACCCAGTCTGTATTTGGTCTCCCCAGTCCAGCAACAAATATAGCAGAACAAAAACAAAGTTGCTGGAAAAGCTCAGCAGGTCTTTACAGCATCCGGAGTTCTTTTGGTTTTTACAAATATAGCAGATCAGACTGAAAGAAGTATATCACTGCTTCACCGAGAAGTTGCATCTGGGACTCGGACAGTGCTCCTCAAAGATGTGGAGCTATTTCAGGTACAAGTGGTGACTGTGGAAATTGGAAGGAACTGCACACTAGTGATGGTTGGTGAGGTTAAGCTTCATAACTGACCAGCAATCTGATTTTGATTTCAGGTTGAACATCAGTGCCGGAATTGCAAAGCCGTCATTATTTTAATCAGAGGCGGCTTCGGTTGCAAGCTCCTGTTAAAATGGCAAAACACTCAGACTTTCCCCCATATATTACAGTTTCACCAGTACTGCAGGTTGCATTTTGAACACCCACAGCCTGTGAATGAATTTAAAAAAAGACAATCTTGGTAATTTTGTTAATCAGTGGTGGGTGGTGAGATCCTAATGCCTAAAATAACTGGATGGTATTCAAAGAGAAGTTGTTGAGGGTGAGGCCGAGTTCGGCTAAGCGGATGAGGATGTCAGTGGAGGGGGACTGGTCGGGCCTGCGGGACAGGAAGAAGCAGAGGGCCTTTAGGCCATCTGTATGGAAAATGCAGGTGTATAGGGACTGGACGTCCATGGTAAAGATGAGGTGTTAGGGACGGGGGAAATTGGAAGTTCTGGAGGAGGTGGAGGGCGTGGGTGGTGTCACGGATGTAGGTAGGGAGTTCCTGGACCAAGGGGGAGAAAATGGAGTCCAGATAGGTGGAGATAAGTTCGGTGGGGCAGAAGCAGGCGGAGACAATGGGTCGACCAGGGCAGTCAGATTTGTGGAATTTGGGAAGGAGATAGAAGCAGGCGGTGTGGGGTTGGGGAACCATGAGGTTGGAGGTCACCTTAAGTGATGAGGTTGTGGATGGTTTGGGAGATGATGGTTTGGTGGTCGGGGGTGGGGTCATGATCAAGGGGGCGCTAGGAGGTGGTGTCGGAGAGTTGGCGTCTGGCCTCAGCGATGAAACCAAGCAGAGGCTTGGGGACCGCTTTGCAGAACACCTATGCTCGGTTCGCACTAAACAACTGCACTTCCCAGTCGCGAACGATTTCAACTCCCCCTCCAATTCCGCAGACGACATGACCATCCTGGGCCTCCTGCAGTGCCACAACGATGCTACCCGAAGGTTGCAGCAACTCATATTCCGCTTGGGAACCCTGCAGCCCAATGGTATCAATGTGGTCTTCACAAGCTTTAAAATCTCCCCTCCCCCTACCGCATCCCAAAACCAGCCCAGCTCGTCCCTGCCTCCCTAACCTGTCCTTCCTCTCACCTATCCCGTCCTCCCACCTCAAGCCCCACCCCCATCTCCTTCCCACTAACCTCATCCCACCCCCTTGACCTCTCCGTCCTCCCTGGACTGACCATATCTCCACCTTACCTCCCCACATACACTCACCTTTACTGGCTCCATCCCCGCCTCTTTGGCCGGTCTGTCTCCTCTCCACCTATCTTCTCCTCTATCCATCTTCTATCCGCCTCCCCCTCTCTCCCTATTTACTTCAGATCCCCCTTCCCCTACCCCATTTCTGAAGAAGGGTCTAGGCCCAAAACGTCAGCCTTCCTGCTCCTCTGATGCTGCTTGGCCTGCTGTGTTCATCCAGGTCTACACCTTGTTATCTCAGATTCTCCAGCATCTGCAGTTCCTACTATCTCTGCTATGAAAATTGGTTACCATTCCAACAAAAATGCTTCACTCCTTTTATTTGCTGGTTTTCATCAAGCAATTTGGAGACAAGACAATTTAACTCTCCAGGAGCATAAGGGAGTGGACTAACTAGAAGCTACAGCCTGGAAACAGTGAAGAATGAACAATGAACAATGATTTCTTTGTAATCAATGCTTAAACTTTTAAACAAATAACACACAAAGCAAAGTGTGACAACTACCAATAATGGCTAGATAACATGCAATTAATTCCTTTATTATCACCTATAATGCTGCAAGTCAAAATGATATATTCTGAATAACATAATTAAGACTTATGGTCACTTTGCATTTTACCATTTGTACTTTTTCAAGTTTAAAGCAAATTTCAAGGTGAAGAGGGCTCAACATTTACATGGATAATATTGTGAAGGGATTGAAAACCATGCTATTTCTTGGGAACTGACAATAGTGACAGTCTCAGTAGTTGCTATCCATTGCTGTGAATTCACCAGAGAACTGCTATCCCAGACTATTTCTGAATGTGAAAATAGCAATTGTGAAAAGATTCACAAAACTGCTCCACTGACCCAGCTCCCAAAATAAGTATGAGGTATATTAAGAACTAAGGACTGTCTAGCCATACATCAGAGGTTAAATTTTACACAAGATTAATTATAACTTGAGTATAGATGGCACTGCCCAGCATTTGCATCTGCTACGGTAACCATTATAATTTTAGCTATTGTTTATTTTTCTTACCTCCTCTCTTAACTCATACTGTTCTATCAGTTTCTTCAGTTTCTCCGCCAGTTCCATGTTCTCCTGGCGCAGTTTGGAATTTCTTTCATTATGTTGTTCCATTTGTGTCTGGATATCATTTAGAGTGACCTGGAAGTGAGACGTGATTTCTTTGCGCTTCTCTTCTTCATCTCTTCCACGTTGAACACCTTCTTCCTGTGGGAAAATTTTATGGCATTGATTAAAATTCTACTATTTCACTACTTCATTCAGTGAAATGGCAATGATGTAATTGCGTGGTCTGGCTTCACTTCGTGCACGTTTCATATTGTATTACATAGAGACAGCAAAATTCAACCAATGGCCCAAAGACTAGAATAACTGGTGTTAATATAGAGAATGCCCAAAATCATCTGGGCTATCAAAAGCTGACATCATGTAGAGAAAACGATAATTTTTATTACACACCTCAGTAAATACAACAGTATTTTACCAAAAGGCTACGGCTACGCAATAAACAGGTTGCAGAACACCACTAATTTAGATATATTTTTTGAGAGGTAGGGAAGAGAGGAGATGGTCATGGTGGAGGATTGCTTTTCGGACTGGAGGCCTATGACCAGTGGTGTGCTACAAGGATCGGTGCTTTTGTCATTTACATAAATGATTTGGATGTGAATATCGGAGGAATGATTAGTAAGTTTGCAGGTGACACTGAAATTGGTGGTGCAGTAGACAGTGAAGGATGTTATCTCAAAGTACAATGGGACCTTGATCAGATGGGCTAATAGGCTGTGGAATTTAATTTAGATAAATGTGAGGTGTTGCGTTTTGGAAAGGCAAATCAGGGCAGGACTTACACACTGAATGGTAGGATCCAGGGGAGTGTTACTGAAGAAAGAGACCTTGGGGTACAGGTTCACAGTTCCTTGAAGGTAGAATCACATGGGGACAGGGTAGTGAATGCGGCATTTGGTAGACTTGCCTTTTTTGGTCAGTGCATTGAGTAAAGGAGTTGGGATGTCATGTTGTGGCTGTACAGGATATTGGTTAGGCCACTTTAGGAATACTGCATTCAATTCTGATCTCCCTGCTATAGGAGAAACATTGTTAAACTTGAAAGGATGCAGAGAAGGTTTACAAGGATGTTGCCAGGTTGGAGAGGTTGAGCTATAGGGAGAGGCTGAATAGGCTGGGGCTATTTTCCCTGAAGCATTGGAGGTTGAGGGGTGATCATACGAAGATTTATAAAATCGTGAGGGGTGTGAACAGGGTGAATAGCCAAGGTCTTTTTCTCTGGGTAGGTGAGCCCAAAACTAGAGGCCATAAGTTTAAGGTGAGAGGGGAAAAGATATTAAAGGGATCTAAGGGGCAACTTTTTCACGCAGAGGGTGGTACGTGTATGGAATGAGTTGCCAGATGGGGCAGTGGCGGCTGGTACAATTACAACATTTAAAAGGCATCTGGATGGGTAAATGGATAGTTAGGGTTTAGAGGGATATGGGCCAAATGCTGGAAAAGGGGACTAGATTTATTTAGGATATCTGGTTAGCACGGACGAGTTGGGTCAAAGGGCCTGTTTCCATGCTGTACATCTCGACAACTCTGCCACTGAGATTGGCGCCACACTCGCCAACAGAAACAGAATTTTCTTCATCATTCCTTGTGTTTATTTCAGGTTTCCAGCATTTATTTTGCCTTTATTCAAACTTATTCGATAAAATACAGTTGACCTACACACAACTTACATTTTGGCTACCAGTAAAGGGATTGGAAATGCAATTTTGAATATAGCTGCCTAAATAATTCCAAAATTCATATGAGAGAAAATGTTGCATCTAAGAATGAATCCATCACAACAAGAGCTAACAGATTTGAAGCCAAGACTTGAAATCGTCCAAACTCTGAAAGAATGTTTTGCAACTAAAGTGGATAACCCACACAGGTAACCATGAAATACATTTCTTTTCGGAACAAAAATGATATCGTTACACTTAAATTTTTTTTATTGCACTTGCCTCTTATACATTAAATACAAAGTCCTCAAATCATTTGTTTTACTTCTATTGAATGGGAGTGCACCCCATTACACCATGGGGAAAATGTTACAGCATCAGCCTCAACCTATTAGGTAATTATGTCAAACAGAAGTGATTTTTAAAATTAATACAAGGGATGTATCTGTTGCTGAACAAAATCAGCATTTACTGTCTATGAGAAGGTGGTGATGAGCTACCTTTTTGAATTGCTGTAGGTTTAGTGTATATAGAATATATATATGTAACCAACCCCTGCTTTGGGGTTAGCCTTTGCCCTATACTCTGCAGAAGTTCTACCATTTTTCATTTTCCTTTCTCAGCATGTTATCACATATTTGACAGTCTTGTTTTGCAAGTCTCTAATAATTTTACAAATTGGACTAGAATTGGTAGGAGGGAGAAGGAAGAGAAAACAGATATTTGTAATATCCTCAAATTAGTAGTTGGTAAGTGGCAAAGTCATGTTGCTGGACTAATAATCCAGAACCCCAGGTTAATGTTCTGTGAATATGGGTTTGAGTCCCCCACAGCGGGATGGTGAAATTTGAATTCAGTATAAATCTGAGATTAAAACAAAGCTAACGTAATGACAATAATGTAAATACTGCTAATTGACATAACAACCCATCCAGTTCACTAAAGCCCTTCAGGGAAAGAAAACTGCCATCTTTCCCTGGTCTAGGTGATATGTGACTCCAGATTCACAGTAATAAATGCTGGCCTAGTCAGCAATGCCCACACCTTGTGAATGAAAGAAAGAAGGTACGTAAAGGACACAGAGATACCAGCTGAGAATAAGTGATGAACCAAGATTTTGGTAGCTATGTTGGTGTTACACATTGAGGAAACAGCTGGGTAACAATAACCATAATATATTAAAAATCTTGTTTAATCATTCATAGGAAGTGGGCATCACTGGCTAGGCCAGTATTCATTGTCAATCCCCAATTTCCCCCAAGAAACTGATGAACTGCCTTCCTGAACAACTTCACTCTGCATTCAAGACTCACGCCCAAAATGCTGACAGGGCTGAGTTCCAGGATTCAACCCAGCAACAGTGTGATATAGCTCCAAGTCAGGGGCACGTATGGTTTGAAGGGGAATGTGCAGGTGGTGGTGGTTCCATGAATCTTCTGCCCCTGTGTTTCAAAGGTCAAAGATTTTCAAGATTGTAAAAAATCCGTGGTGAGTTGTTGCAGTGTGTATTGTACTTAAGGAGTACATAAGGAAGTGGACCTAGAAATAAGTCGATGCATTGGTGGCAATCTTTCAAGATTCTATACACTTTGGACCAGTTCCTACAGATTACAATGTAGCTAATACCTGGAATTGTTGACCAGTTGACATAACATTTTAGTGGGGAAATGCTAGGGTCTGTTGCAAAAGAATTAATAGTTGTGCATTTATAAAATAGTGGCATGATTGGAATGAGTCAGCATGGATTTACTAAAGGAAAGTCATACTTACAAATCTCCTGTAATTCCCTTAGGATGTAATTAGCTCAGGTGATGAGAAGGAGCCAGAAGACTTTCGACAAAGTCTCACATAAGAAATTAGTGTGTAAAATTAAAACATGTGGGAGTGGGGGTAATGCATTCAGATAGAGAGATATAACACTGATTGGCAGACAGGAAACAAAGAGTAGGAATAAATACGTCTTTTTCCAAATGGGCGACAGTGACTTTTGGGATATTGCAGGGATCAGTGCTAAGACCCCAGCTATTCACTATATATCTTTGTGGTTTAGACGAGGGAACAACATGTGTATCTCGGAGTTTGCAGATGAAACAAAGCCAGGTGGGAGGGTGAACTCGGAGGAGGATGCAGAGATGCTTCAGTGTGATTTCGGCAAGCTCAGTGAGTGGGCAAATCCATGGCTGATGCAGTATAATACGGTTAAATGCAAAGCCTTCCACTTTGGTAACAAAACAGGAAGGCATATTTCTCATTTATTTTGATATATAATATATAAAAATTGATAGAGGGGAATGTGCAACAAGGCCTTATTGTCCTCATGCATGAGTCACTGAAGATAAGCATGAATGGGCAGCAGACAATAAAGAAGGCAAATGGTACGTTTGCCTTCATAACAAAACGATTTGAGTACAGGAGTAGGAATGTCTTGCTGCAATTCTGCAGGGCCTTGGTGAGACTACACCTGGAATACTGTGTGCAGTTTTGGTCTCCTTATCCGAGGAAGGATGCTCTTGCTACAGAGGGAGTGGAACAAGAGTTTAGTAGTCTGATTCCTGGGACGGTGGGACTAACATACGAGGAGAGATTGAATTGGTTAGGATTATATTTGCTGGGGTTCAGAAGAATGAGGAAGAGGATATCATTGAATCCCATAAAATTCAAAACAGGGTTCATGCAGGAAGGATGGTGGGAGAGTCCAGAACCTGGGAACACAAACTAAGTACATGGAGTAAACGTTTAGGTTCAAGAGGAGGATAAATCACTTCATCCAGACAGTGGTAACCCTGTAGAATTCTCTGACTCACAAAGCAGTCTAGGCCAAAACATTGTACGATTTCAAGAAGCAGTTGGAGCTAAGGGGATCAAATGATATGGAGGAAAAGCAGAACCAGGCAAGATCATAATGAATGGCTGAGCGTGCTTGAAAGATCAAATGACCTACTCCTGTTCCTATTTTTTGTTTTTCAAAATTTGTAGATGATACTAATGCACAGTGGTGGCACAGTGTGACTGAGGGATTGAATTTGGAACGTGTTAGCAGGGTGCCAATCAAGATGCTTTGCCCTGGATATAGGTGTTGAGCTTCTCAAGTATTGCTACAGCACGGCTCATCCAGACAAGTGGAGAGTTTTTCATCACACTACTGACTTATGATTACAGATGGTGGACAGGCTTTGGGGAGTCAGGAGGTAAGTTACCTATCTCAATTCCAGCCATGTGGCCTGAACTCAAAGCCACAGTATTTATCCGGCTGGTTAACTTCAGTTTCTCGTCAATACTGCTTCTGAGGATGTTGATAGCATGGGATTTAGTGATGATAATGCTATTAAATATCAAGTGGTGGTGGTGGTGGTGGTGGGGGGGTGATGTGTGGGGAATGGTTGGATTCTCTCTTGTTGGAGACAGTCATTGCCTATGCTTGTGTGGCATAAACATTTATCACTACTCATCGGTCCAAGTCTGGATGTTGCCCAGTTCTTG